TGTGAATTTATTAATAAAATACAAAGTTTACGAAAATTTATACGTCAACAAACAAACAAATTACAAAAGAATATTGTATTGGAGCAAACCCACACCTTTAAATAGACATACATACATATACATATACATGTACATATATATATATATATATATATATATATATATATATATATATACACGCGTGTGAATGCGTGTGTATGTATGGGGCGTTGACTAGGATTAGTTGTGTAATCTCCGACTAACAAAAATTAAGACAGAAAAATTCACACGCTTAATATCAAACCACAATTTAATAGTAATTGAAGAGCAATTGAACGCAAGTTAATTAATTAAATCTGCAAACATATTTTAATAAAATTTAAAAAATAAAAATAAAAAAGATTACTAAACCTTGATTAATTAACTAATAATCAACCAACTTAATCATACACATCTCCTTTTTAAATAAATAAATAAATCAGATGCTTTGTTTTTTATATGAATGAATCAGGGCCACCAAAAACCAAATTTGGTGCTGAAAATAAATAAATAAATAAATAAGGATTATTTTTTTTAATTTGTTTATACAGTAATATTTATACATGAATGGTAGGGACGCCATTATTTGTTTACGGATTAATTCGGCTCTGAGTTGAATCCCCTTTTAATTTATAAATTGGTAGCTTCGAACCCACTCCAGAACTGCCCATTTAATCTTTCTCTTTCGTTCATCAAAACCTTTAATTCTTTATTAATTACAAACCCTTTTCTGGGTTTTTGCTCGCCTCAGTTCATGTGTTCTTCCATCAACAACACTCTGTTCTGTATGTAATACCAACAATCTGCTTCTTTTACACTACAACAAAGGTATGATTCTTGCTGTTCTGACTCTGTTCTTCGTTCTCACTCTGTTCTTCGCTGCTCTGTTTTTCACTTTCTTTTTTCATTGACCCATTCACAGATTAAACTTGATCATGGAAAAAACAGCTGAGTTCTCTTTTTGTGGGTTTGTGAGATGGATTTTCCAGCGACGATGCAAGTGGTTTAAGAAATCCTCTGTTCATTCATTACCCACAAATACCTCTGAAAATTGCTCTGTTTCTGATGATGCCAAGATGCCATTGGAACAGGATCGAAGAACCCACCAAAAACCCACTTTGGATCAACCAAGACCTTCGATTTCTCACCAGAAGAATCAAAGTCGGAGGCCTTCCGATGCTGCAAGAATCTCGTTAAGTAATGGGTCAGTTTTGGGTAATTTGAAGCCAATTGGATCGGCGAACAACAGTCCAAGGAATCGACAAGAGATGAATTCAAGTCCAAAACTTGGAGGAAATGGCAATATGGGGAACATTATGAGGAGAAGTTCATGTGAATTAAAGCCGAATGTGTTGAAATCCATGGGAAATGAAGCTTACAAACAGGGGAAATACGAAGAAGCATTGGCTTTGTATAACAGAGCAATAGCATTAGATTCAGAGAATCCTGTTTATTATAGCAACAAAGGAGCTTCTTTGATTGCCTTGCATCGTTTCATGGAAGCCATTGAAGAATGCAAGAAGGCATTAAAGATTCAGCCATCATATCAAAGAGCCCATCACCGTTTAGCCACTACCTATCTCAGGTAACACAACAAATATCCATTTTCTCTTATGGGTTCAAAGCTTTATGCCATTTTGATTGCAGAATTGGGGAGCCTGAGAAAGCATTGGCTCACTTGGAACAATCAGGCCCTTACAGTGACATAAACGACATGAACAGAGCATGTGTTCTTCAGAGCTGTTTGAGTAAGTGTATTGAAGCAAGGAAGCTACAAGATTGGGACACTCTGTTAAAAGAGACCAAATGGACAATTTCCTCTGTTTCTAATTCAGCTTATAAGCTCTACGCTTTGCAAGCTGAGGCCTTGTTGAAGTTCCATAGATATCAAGAGGCTTATGCCATTTACCAAAAGGGTCAATCCCTCGAGCCAAATTTGCTAACCAAGTTATTTAGTGTAGCTGATAGTGCACTTATTTTATCCATTGAGGCACAAGTTTACACGACAATGGGCAGGTTAGAAGGTCAAATTTGATGTTGAAATTAAGAACAGGACTTCATTTCATTGAGGGTTATGTTGATATCTCACAGGTTTGAGGAAGCTGTGGCTGCAGCAGAACGATCAACAAGGCTTGATCCAACTAATATGGAGGCAAACAGAGTGGCAAAATGGGCTAAACTTGTTTCATCAGCTAGATTGAGAGGCAATCTACTCTTCAAGGAATCAAGATTTCCAGAAGCCTGTACTGCATATAGTGAAGGATTAGAACACGACCCGTATAATTCGATTTTGCTATGCAACCGAGCAGCATGTCGATCGAAGCTGGGACGGTACGAGAAAGCTGTTGAAGATTGCACTGCAGCTCTTATGACACAGCCATGTTACAGCAAAGCCAGACACCGCAGAGCTGATTGCAATGCAAAAGTAAGTAAAATTCTAAACCTTAAAAGAACAGAGCTTTAAGGTTGTTTGTTAAGATTTGGCTTAATTTTGAGACAAGATGGAGAGATGGGAAGCTTCAATTCAAGATTACGAGGTGTTGATAAGAGAGAGACCAGGAAATGAGGAAGTGGGGAGGGCTCTGTTTGAGGCGCAGCTTCAACTCAGGAAGCAACATGGGGAGGACGTAAAAGACTTGAAATTTGGGTGTAATTTGGTGTGTATTTCAAGTTATGAACGTTTTAGGCACTTTGTTACCTCTCCTGGTGAGTTACAATAAGAAGAGGAGTGATTTTGTTCCTATGAACTGAACTGTGTACGTTTAACCTAAGCAGTGGGTTGTGTTGGCAGGGATGTCGGTGGTTCTGTTTTGCAACAAAAGCTACCAGAAAGAGGGGCTAGAAGTGTTCGAGTCGGTTTACGAGCGGTTTCCGTGGCTAAACTTCCTAAAGGTGGATCAAAATGGTAGTTTTTGTTGAAATTTTTGGCTAAAATTTTGAGGTTAGAAGGCTAAAATGATGGATAATTGGGACATCAGGTGGAGGTAGAAGACCATCCTTATTTGGTGAAGTTGGAGGAGGTGAGGTCCATTCCAGCTTTCAAGATATACAGAAATGGGAGAATAGTGAAGGAGATTCCAGGCTCTAAACCCCATTCATTAGAGAGTTTAGTGAAGTTGTACAGCAGTTGAATTTGGAGCACAGGCTTAGAGAAAAACAGAGAAAAACAGAGAAAAACAGAGGAAAACAGAGAAAAACAGAGCATGTTTGGGTTGGCTTGTCCATTGGGCTTTTTAGACGACCTAGGTAGCTTCACAATGCTCATGGCCTTTTGTGCTTATGTACATAAGAATGAATTTGTTGGAACGCTCCCATGCATTTTTACATAATTTTTTTTTAAATATTTTTTAACAATAAAAACATAGGTCTACTCAAAGTCGTAAGACCATGTATGGGAGTTGACACTTATTTAGTGTCGGAAAAAGGTCAAGGAAGTTGGTGACATGATGACAGAAGAGTCAGTGATTGAAGCTCCAGTGAACGGTGGCGGTAACTGTAACGGTCCTAAGATAGTGAAATTCCTTGTTGGGTAAGTTTTGACCCGCACGAAAGGCACCCTTGATCGTAAAATATCGATTAACAACCGTACACATAAATGCTCTAATACCAATTGTTGTATCCCGAATGCTACAATACCAACTGTTGTAGTGGAAGCATAACCAAGATCGATTGTACTCACACACCTACAAACAGAAATTAAACAAAGAGACACAACAAAGTCTATGTTACAAAGTTTCTCTCAATTACTTCTAGACAAATACAAAATGACAATAACTCCACCTCTCCAATCAATACTGGACAATCAAACCACACCAATACTCGTATATAATATGAAAGATGAACCAAATAAACTCAATAAATTCATGAATCGAAGTGGAGAATGTATCCAAAGTATTTACGAAATCTTCATGAAAATTCTCGATAGAATTATGCTCGAGTTATTATCTAATTTGTGAATATATATATATATATTAAATTTTATAATTAGGGTAAAGATGGTCAAAATAGAATAATATATGGTATGGTTGCAAAAGTAGAGTGATGTTTTTGAATCTTTAAGCGATTCTTTTGCTCTTTCTTTGGAATAAGTTCCAATCTTGAATCACTTTTACATTATCATCTCATCTCTCTCGTCCTTTTAATACAATCGATTTTTAATTTTAGCTTCTTCACCCGTTTCAGAATAAGCTAGATTTGAAATCAATAACTTCAAGAGAAGCAAGCCCGAGATTGGTAAGTTGAGCACGAAACTCTCTATAAAGATAATTAACTAATATGAGACGACTTCATCTAATAATCCTTAACATTATCGAAATAAAACAAAAAAAAAAAGAAACAAATTTATTGTAATAGTTGTAATATTAGCAATTAAGGAAATAAAATAATTTAATTTCTAATTTAAGCCCACAAAATTTCCCATAAAAACAAAATTTAAAATTTAAAAAATTACAAAACTTAATTTACAAATATTTTTAACCCATTTGGTCAAAAAGCTTTGGTAAAAGTTAATTTTGGATTTGAAATGGTCGCACACACAATAGGGTAGAAGGACGAAAAACCGACCAAGTTCAACATAATCCGACGTGTCCACTAGTGGGCCCTCACACATCACACACTAACCGCTAACAGCCAATAACAACCTTACATTTTACTCTGTTTTTTCCCCCCCGCCGGAACCCTCGCCAAGAAAAACATTTATTTTTTCTCCTTCAATTATACATATACATATATATATATATATATATATATATATATATGTATATATGTTTGCCAAAAATAAGAAAAAAAAATCCCAGAAGCATGCATGCGTGGCTAGAATCTCAAGAACAGTTTCAGTGTCATCCTTAAAATAGCCAAATTTGTGGGTTCATTGCATCTACCCATTAATTTCTCTATTTTGTTTGCCTCTCTCACTCTATATATATATATATATAAACAAAATAAATAAAATTAATCTCTGGAGTAATTTTTTTGTTAAAAAAAAACAGTGACAGAAGAACAAGGATCTGTCAGAGACCAAACCAGAAACATTCTGGAACTTCAAGAGTGTTGAAGAAGAAGAAGAAGACAGGTGAGTCACATGAATCCTTTCTTTTTTCCTTTTCAGCTACATTGTAAGGGATGATCGTACTTTTTTTATATTCCTTTGCTGCGTTTTATGATCGTTGTTCTTCGGTTATGTCTTTGTTCGATAACTATTTGATTGGTTGGGAATGAGATGATTTTTTTAAGATTGATTGTGGGCCTTTGATGTCAGTGTCGAATAAAATAGTGGGTTATATCTCAATCAAAACTGACATGATCATGGTGGAGTCTTTCAATCCTACCAAACTCTTTAAGGCTCTCTGTGTTCATCACAAAAAACCATGAAGTGTATAAAACAATCAAACATGTCAAAGAATTTTAAGGTTGTTACAATTTGTTAACTTTAAGGAATTCAGGTGATAATTTGAGAGTTAAAATGAGGGGCGAAGAAGGGAATTCAGCTGAAGAGAATCTTGAAACAAAAGAGGGAACTCCATCTTCAGAGGATGAGAGATACATTCACAAAGTTTCAGTTCCACCAAAGCAGAAACTGTTCCAAGAAATCAAATCTGGAGTGAAAGAAACATTCTTCCCTGATGATCCTCTCCGTTCATTCAAGGATCAAACAAATCGCCGTAAATTTATCCTCGGAACCCGGGCCGTTTTCCCTATACTTGAATGGGGAAGAGATTACAATATCTCCAAGTTTAGAGGAGATGTCATTGCTGGACTCACCATTGCCAGTCTCTGCATTCCTCAGGTAACAGTTTCGATCAAGGAAGATACTAAAATGGCATGGTTTTAAGCATTAGGCTGCTTGCTAATCACTAGTTCTTGCAACATCAGGATATTGGGTATGCAAAGCTTGCAAATTTGCCTCCAGAGTATGGATTATGTGAGTGTTTATGCTGTTTATCAACACTCTGTTAAGGATTGTTCTTGTGAGACTAATCCCATCTGCCAAAATCTTGCAGATTCAAGTTTTGTTCCACCATTAATCTATGCACTTATGGGTAGCTCAAGAGATATAGCCATTGGTCCAGTGGCTGTTGTTTCTCTCTTGTTGGGGGCAATGCTTCAAGCCGAAATCGATTCGGCTACGAACGCAGAAGAATACAGACGGCTGATTTTTACAGCTACATTCTTTGCAGGGATCACACAAGCCACCTTAGGAGTTCTAAGGTGATATTGAATGTTTATGTTCCTATGAAATATCATATCCATGTTCATAAGTTCCAGTTCATTGAGTGTAAAATTTGAACTCTGGGATCAGGTTGGGATTCCTAATTGACTTCTTGTCCCATGCTGCTATTGTTGGCTTCATGGGGGGAGCTGCCATCACCATTGCTCTCCAACAACTCAAAGGCTTTCTTGGCATAAAGAATTTCACAAAGAAAACGGATATTATCTCGGTTATGCAGTCGGTATTCGGCACGATGCAACACGGAGTGAGTTCCCCGAAAATTTATCGGCTTCTGCTAATTCGAATACCGTTCTTACTGATAGTTTGTATACTTTATGACAGTGGAACTGGCAGACAATAGTGATTGCTGCAACCTTCTTATGCTTTCTTCTATTTGCAAAATTCACTGTAAAGCCCCTTACTTCCATCATCAATAGTAAAAAACTCATCCATTTTTCTACTGATGACCTTCTTATGATTGTTGTTATTGTTATGGAGCACAGGGGAAGAGGAACAAGAAGCTGTTCTGGGTGCCTGCTATTGCTCCACTCATATCTGTTGTTCTGTCTACCCTTTTGGTTTACCTTACTCGTGCTGATAAGCAAGGGGTTGCAATTGTAAGTATTTGAGTTGCTATTGTATGACCATCACGGGTGTTCTTAGACCACCAAGATTCACTCTTTTACTTCCCTTTTCTCATAACTTGTTAGGTGAAACACATAAAGAGAGGAATCAATCCCCCATCTGTGAAAGAATTGTATTTCTCAGGTCAATACCTTCTAAAAGGGCTTAAGATCGGTGTCGTGGCGGGTATGGTAGCATTGACGGTGAGCATACTCTAAAACTACTCTACTGTTGGAAGAAAGTTTAGCTTGTTAGGAACCACGACTCTCCTTAATGGTATGATGTTGTCCACTTTGAGCACAAGCTCTCATGGCTTTGTTTTTGGGCTTCCCCAAAAACTCACGATCATTCCCTAAATTAGCCAACGTGGGACTCCCTCCCAACAATCCTCAACAATCCACCTTTCGAATAAAGTACGCTATAGTCTCCCTTGAGGCCTATGGAGCCTTCGAACAACCTCCCATTAATCGAGGCTCGAATCCTTCTTTGGAGTCCTCGAACACCATTTGTTCAACACTTGAGTCAGTTTTAACTACACCTTCGAGGTTCACAACTTCTTTGTTCGACATTTGAGGATTCTATTGACATGGTTAAGTTAAGGGCATGACTCTGATACCATATTAGGAACCACGACTCTCCTCAATGGTATGATATTGTCCACTTTAAGCACAAGCTCTCATGACTTTACTTGTGGGCTTCCCTAAAAGGTCTCATGCCAATGAAGATGTATTCCTTACTTATAAACTCATGATCATTCCCTTAATGAGCCAACGTCGGACTCCCTCCTAACAATCCTCAACAATCCATCCTTCGAACAAAGTACACTATAGAGTCTCCCCTAAGGCCTATGGAGTCCTCGAACAGCCTCTCCCCTTAATCGAGGCTCGAATCCTTCTCTGGAGCCCTCGAATACAGTACACCCTTTATTCGACACTTGAGTCACTTTTGACTACACCTTTGAGGCTCACAACTTCTTTGTTCGACATTTGAGGATTCTATGACATGACTAAATTAAGAACATAGCTCTAATACCATGTTAGGAATCACGACTCACCACAATGGTATGATATTGTCCACTTTGAGCACAAGCTCTCCTGGCTTTGCTTTTGAGCTTCCCCAAAAGGCCTCACACCAATGGAGATGTATTCCTTACTTATAAACTCATGATCATTCCCTAGATTACTCAATATGGGACTCCCTCCCAACAATCCTCAACATACCTATCACTTTTTGCGTTCACGTTTTGAATCTCTTGTTTGGATTTTTAGGAAGCCGTAGCGATCGGAAGAACGTTCGCTGCAATGAAAGACTATCAAATTGATGGGAACAAGGAAATGGTAGCAATGGGAGTCATGAATGTTGTTGGTTCAATGACTTCCTGCTATGTAGCAACAGGTGAGAAAGAAAGAAAGAAACAAACAAAAGACAATGTATTAGAACAAGAACCTCATTGTCAAATGATTGTGTCCCTATCATTGGCTGCAGGTTCATTCTCTCGATCAGCCGTAAACTACATGGCTGGCTGCCAAACTGCAGTATCCAACATTGTGATGTCCCTTGTAGTAGTCCTAACTCTGGCATTCATCACTCCACTTTTCAAATATACTCCAAATGCAATCCTATCTGCTATCATTATAAATGCTGTGATCAACCTGGTTGACTTGCATGCAGCGAAGTTGATATGGAAGATTGATAAATTTGATTTTGTTGCTTGTATGGGAGCCTTCCTCGGTGTCATCTTTTTCTCTGTAGAGATGGGGCTTCTAATTGCGGTAACTGATACTCATTCTTAAGCTGCTGAATGTGAAGAGAGATCTTCTTAGTTATTTGGTTGTTCTTTTCCCTTTTGTAGGTATCCATTTCCTTCGCCAAAATCCTTCTACAAGTTACCAGACCACGGACTGCACTTCTTGGAAAGATCCCAAGGACAACCGTTTATAGAAACATACATCAATATCCCGAAGCAACCAAAGTTCCTGGCGTTTTGATTGTGAGAGTTGATTCAGCCATTTACTTTTCCAACTCAAATTACATCAAGGAAAGGTATAGATAGATGATAGTCACCCCATGCAGCCTAACATTGTCTTTGATGTTCCTGTATTTGAAATTTAAGAGATGTGGTGTGAGATTCCAAGTTGGTTGGAGAGGGGAACGAAGCATTCCTTATAAGGGTGTAGAACTCTCTTCCGAGTAGATGGGTTTTAAAAACTTCGAGGGGAAACTTGAAAGGGAAAGCCCAAAGAGGACTTTTGCTAGTAGTGGGCTAAGGCTGTTACAAATGGTATCAGAGCTAGACACCGAGCGATGTGCCAGCGAGGATGTTGGGCCTCCAAGGGAGGTGGATTGTGAGATCCCACATCGGTTGGAGAGGCGAATGAAATATTTCTTATGAAGGTGTGGAAACCTCTTCCTAGCATATGCGTTTTAAAAATTTTGAGGGGAAACCCAAAAGGAAAAGCCCAAAGAGTACAATATCTACTAGCAGTGGGTTTAGGCTGTTACAAATGGTATCAGAGCTAGACACCGGATGGTGTGCCAGTGAGGACACTAGGCCCCCAAGGGAGGTGGATTGTGAGATCTCACGGGAAACGAAACATTCCTTATAAAGGTGTGGAAACCTCTTCCTAACAGACACGTTTTAAAAACCTTGAGAGGAAACCTAAAAGGAAGAGCCCCAAAGAGAACAATATCTACTAGCGGTGGACTTGGGCTGATATGAATGGTATCAGAGCCAGACATCGGGTGGTGTGCCAGTGAGGACGCTAGGCCCCCAAGGGAGGTGGATTGTGAGATCTCACATCGGTAGAGAGGGGAACGAAACATTCCTTATAAGGATGTGAAAACCTCTTCCTAGCAAACGCATTTTAAAAACCTTGTTCGTTCACCGTGGTAAGCTCGATGAAGCTCACGTTCAACTTCTTTACAGGATATTGAGATGGCTAGTTGATGAGGAAGAATTAACAAAAGAGTCCTACCAGAACAAAATCCAGTTTCTAATAGTTGAAATGTCACGTAAGTATCAGTTTCAAACCCATTTTGAATCCAAATTACACAGTGGAGAAAGCACTCAAGACACTTTTGGGCCAACTAAACTAACAATGATGTCTTATGTTTCATGCTGAAGCTGTTACTGACATAGACACAAGTGGCATACATGCTTTGGAAGAGCTAAATGGAAGTCTCAAGAAACGAGAAATACAGGTAAAAACAGCATAACTAATCCCAAATGCAGCCAATTCAGATCATTTTAACAAACAAGAGTAAAAAAAGATATGAATGAACTTAATGTCTTCTAACCTGAAGTTATGTTCATCAATGGAAACAGCTGATTCTAGCCAATCCAGGGCCCGTGGTGATCCACAAGCTTCACGCATCAGAGTTTGCAGATTTGATAGGACAAGACCATATCTTTCTCACAGTAGCAGATGCAGTATCATCGTGCAGTCCTAAGATAATGAACGATGTTTGACAGAGAAAAACAACAGAAGTTAGGGATTTGTTTGTTTAGTACAAGACAAGATAAGAGGCACTCACCAAGCTGGGACATATAGCTCAACGCACACAGTGTTCATCAGTAGTGGGATGATTATGGGAGTGAAAGTAGGTGTAAAATGGGAAAGTGGCATTGTATCATGTTCTTAAATCAAAAAAGAAAGAACAAATCAGAGATAAAAATTGGATTGATCTTGTTCTTTCCACAGAAATATGTAACAGCAAATAGAAAATGGAATTCACAGAACACATCAAAGAGTGTTTGAACTTGTTTTTTTGGATTTGACCTAGAAAAGTTCATCAAAGTTCTTGAAGGAAGCAACACAGGGCAGAGGCAACCAATAGGGGTTGCTTGGAGATTTTAATGAATACCCACTTGCTCATAAGTGATGATTAAGAAATGGAATGCAAAAAAAGCGCAACAGAGTAAGGATTGGGGATTGAATTCAAAGGAGAAATGATGGGGTGTGAAGTGGGGAATGGAAAAAGGGGTTGAAAATTGGATGAGGGGAATCGAGGGGCTCCCCAACCCCACGCACACCCACACGCACACGCACACGCACACGCACACGCACACGCACAAAGGTGCGCTGCGCTGCGTGAAGCTGAGCGTCGGTGGAGAGTATCAAAGCACAGCTTCGAGATGATTGTCCACTCAAGGCTGCCTTCAGAATATGATCAAGATAGCTTTAAAAAATATTGATGAATTTAAAAATAATAATTTCATGGAATTTCTAATATTAAAATTTAACAACTTGGTGACCAAATCAATTTTGTATTTAAATACGTTACATCGATATGAAATAGCGAGTTGATTACGAAGAAATAAATTATTATCTCGACAATAATAAGCTAAATTTTATTTATTATATGCAAGAAAAAGGTAAGATTTACTTCAATGATAAGCTTATTGCTTTATTAATATTAAATTTCTTTGACTATTTTACATATTATAGTCGAATTGTTATAAGTGAATTAAGTTCACACGTGTAAAAGACCTTTTAAAAAATTTACACAATTTTAAATTATTAGTTATTTAAAATATATTGTCTAAATTAATTCATGGATGGAAAGTCAAGAATTTAAATGATAATGATTATAAATTTGCAACGTGTAAATTAACGATTTTCAAATGGAAGTGATTGTGAGATCGCACATCGATTGGAGAGGTGAATGAGTGTCAACGAGGACGTTGGGCCCCGAAGAGGAGTAGATTGTGAGATCTCACATCAGTTGGAGAGGGAAACGAAACATTCCTTGTAAGGGTGTGAAAACTTCTTCCTAATACATGAGAAAGCCCAAAAAGAACAATATCTACTAGCGGTGACTGTTATACGGCGTTACTTGATACTCTTATAAACTATAAGCGAACACCGAGAGTTGATAGACTACATTCAATTGAGTTGTAGGGTAGACCTGAGGAGGAGCACTTTACTTTAAGGCATGCTCCAATATTACCATCATATAATTTTTATCAAAGAATTCCCGAAGCCAAAGTATGAGGTCATCCTCTCATAAGTCGAAGGATATCGAATGAGAGATTCACCACCGAAAGCATTAACAAAAGAAAAAAAAAACGAATGTTGTTGTGAATGTTCAACATTTTAGAAAGCAGGAAAAGGGATCCCTTTTCTGGAACGAAAAAAACGGAGCTGATTTGATTCGACTCAAATAAAAAATTTGTTTGGGAGTGAATATGGGAATTTAGATGGGCTTTTGTTATGGGGGAATGGGCCCCGATCCATGCCATGCTGACAAGCCCTCAGATTCGGCCTCTGCAATCGACCCATTGAAATGAAGAACACAAAGAACTGTATCTGTAAGTGATGGAGATGGGTTTTCATGGAATGATTGTTCGCAGTGAACATGGATCTATTCAAGAATCGAGGGATGAATTTGTGGGGATTTTGCTTAGAATACGATAGATTAACGGATACAACATTTGGGTACAGGAAAACATAAATCCATGGATGAACTATGATGCAGCCACCGTTTCTCCCTTGCCGGAGATTTGTGGTGGAACAACGACGGCCGATGAAGATGCCACCGCCGCCTTGGCTGCCGCTTTCTTTGATGCTAAACTGCACTTCTCCCTTCTCTCATCTTGCTTCATTTGCTGTTGCCGACATTCGTCGCTACAGAATCCCCTGTCTCCCCTGAAAACAGAGTCCCTTTCAGTTTCATTCCAAGAAAACAGGGATTGTTGAATTTAATTGGATTGGATTGGATTTACCTGTACATGTAAATATCACGACCAGGAACAAGAGGGCGAGAGCAAAGAGAACAATCTCTGAGGAAATTGGCGTTTTCTTGTAGATCAATCGAATGCCTTCTGTGATTTCTTGGCGACATCAGCTGTTGGGAGATCGCAGGCGACGGCGGTGATCGGTTGTGGATGGAGCCTCCGCCGCCCAGATCGAAGGTGATGTCGGTCATGCTGGTGGTTTTTTTGATCGGAGCACGTGAGGTGTTGCCGAGAGACATGGTTTGAAATTTGTAAAACCAGAAGGGGAAAAAGCGGTTGTGGTTTGAGGAAGAAGAAGTGAAGCAGTGAAGAAGAAGATGATAAAAGAGGGCCAGCAAATGGGGAACGAATCTGGACCGTTCATTACAATTGATAGTGACTCCTCTGCGTAAATAAAAATAAGGAATCCACGTCAGCCTCTCATTTTCACCAATCAAATTATTTGTAATTTTGCTTTAACTCATTTAATGATTTTTTTATTATTATTATTGAGCGTACTTCTTTAATTGTGCGGCCTCATGATCTCGACATGTTTATATAGCAAACTTAATGAGAACTCAAACCCCATTCACGTTTTTACCTAGTTTTGTGGCTTTGTCGGACCTTTTGCGAGGTTTGCATTCGTCAACCGAACACGATTTATGCAGAATTCAAGCTTGTTCGGCCACAGACATTGCTCGTGATTGCATGTTGCATCGTTTGCGACTTTAGTCGACTTGCTTCTACAATAGGCCAAATCATTTGGTTTCACCTTGCCTCTACTCTAGACCAATGTCTCTCATAAGCAACATCGCATCTCATCATTATTTTGGTTCCCAACAACACGACTCATGTATCCATCATTCTTACTCATGTATCATGATGTCATCCCACGCCTCAAGATAGTTGGGCCATCTTGGCTTGCTTGGACACATCTGTTTGAAATTAACACGTGTCAACCATTGCGTTAGAACATCTCGAACATCCATTCGTCAGAATTCTCATCGGGCAATGGATTCTCTTGTATCCCTGCTAAACCATTTACGGCATCCATTCTGAAAAAAGTAAGTGCATAATCCAACGTCCGATCCATGGGCTAGGGCACCCCTTGGAAGACCATTTTTCAGAGGAAGACGCTTGCCACGTTGTGTGACACACATACGTGCTACAAGGTAGCTCGCCTCCATGAGCAGTAAGTTTTTTTATTTAGACGAATGAAATTAACCGAGTTATGTTGGTAGTCTAATTTTGCATATTAAGTGAATAATAAAACCTTAATCCATGGTTAGTGTAATGTTAATGAAATCAGGGAGGGGAATATAAGGTCCAATAAATTAGTGGTCCATTTATGTACTTACTACAATTGGAAGCACACACACGTGAAAACAGCTCACTTGAAGTTGAGATTTCAGATTCCAATTATTATTATTATTATTGTTGTTTTTTCTGCATAGTTGTGAAAATAAAATGAAGCAAAGTTGTTTGCTTTGGAACTAAGAATCATTAAACACAGATTAAACTAATTATGAATTATCCCTATTTTAATTCATTTTTAAAAATCGATCCATCATGTGGGGTGGATTAACTTCTACGTAAACATTGCAACGTAACTCAATTAATTAAAATATATACACGCAAATGAGAGATCATAGGTTCGAAATTCTCTCCCACATGTTATAGACAATAAATGGGAGAGCGGCATTTGAACCGAGCTAAACGTTGAGCTGAAAATTTTGGCGGGGAATGGGTTGATAGCTAAGGAGCAGTGACTGTGGTTGGGCAAGATAGATGAGTCCACTGGATTCAACCTTTTTCATTTGTTGTAAAAAGAAGGGTCTTTTGGAAGGATGCCTTAAATGCACTTTTCAAAAAATAAATTATTGGTTCAACAAAGTTAGTATTTAGCAGAACAGGACCAACATGTTTTGATTGTTATAAGGTGGCCTTCATGTCATTGTCACACTCACACAGCTAATAATGGACAAATTTCTTAGCCAACAGTCATGAACAACAACTTCTGTTCTTTATAATCATGTCCCACAACAAATCAGACAACAAGAGATTGTTAACATACCTTGCCTCAGCTGCCATCAGCTCCTCTAGTTATATGAGCATCGTCGTCTGTTCTCGAGTTTGAGGTTTTAGAATCGGTGACTAGGGCGCAACGACTGGTAGGATCTACTCCAGACCAGAAACAGCGCATCCGCTTATCGTCTTCTTTCATCATCTCGCCATATTTGGTTATGTTGAAACTAACATGATTGTTTCCACCAAATGCAGACTCCAGCTGGTCCATATTGAACAGAGACTCTATTATCCTCTTCGAGTTTACGTCGTTGGAGTAAACGAATTTCACTTTGTTGGCAGTTTTGGTCTCCAGGAAAGGCTTTGCAACCTGTAAATTAAAACAGTACAAACGTCAAATAATTGCAGTAAGTAAAACAGAAATGGCAGTGTACTACTACTAGGACTCCTATGGGCCACAAATCCCTGGGAGATATACAGTAAATTCAGATATTTGAATGAAAGCAGTGAGTTCTTCAAATGAATTATACCATCCAGAAGGGCTCGAAAAACTTAGGCGCGTTGTACAGAATTGCAACTCCGAGGCGTTCGGGATAATGTTCCTGTAAAACATGTGCAGTCTCTTTTGTTGCTTTCAATGAAATATTTGACATATCAAAATCCTTGAAATCAATCAGCCAAATCATACTCTCCTGGTCTGGCGACAGGTTCAGGATAGCATTCTCCATGCAATACACCAAGTACCTAATCTGTCCTTTTACAGTCTTCGAGTTCTGTGGTCGAGAAAGCACGAGGTCGTTAAACTTAAACCAAATCTATAGGAAGTCAAGTTTACTTGTGCAGGCATTAGAGACTCCATCTAAAGTATCTTAATAAGAGTTATTGTGACAGACAATCTCAGAACACCTTTTTTCTTCCCTGATTCTTTCTAAAATCACTACGAGAAACACAAACTTCAAAATAAAGAAAATGTTCAGTAGATCTCTGTTAGGACTGCATAATACAAATGGAACCTGGCGACACGGTCTCATGACTATAACTGTTCTTCCGTGTCGATCATTATAGTTTGCACAATAAAGTTTCCCTGTCTCAGCTTCATGAGCAACCTCATCCTACAAGAGAGATCTAACTATTTAATGGATGAAATGCCATGGCTTGAGCGTTGAACTAAAAAACTTGTTCAAAAAATACTTGACCAAGAGTAAGCAGTGAAGTACCCATTGAATTTCTTCCGGCTTGTATTCTGACCTCCACTTCAAACTTGCTTTCAGCATCTTAGTTGCCTTCTTCACATTCCAGTTTCTTGCCCTTAAGTACCTTGAAATGGATGGATCAGAACAGTAAATCGACGATTTACCAGACAACGGCCCTAAAAGCCTCCGCACCTCAGAAATCTGTAAACGATGAACTAGAACTACAAGAGTTAGCAACTCTCCATAAAGAATTGGCAGGCATTTCAACTATCTTAGTTTCTAGATTCAGCAGTCAAAGGGCTGTAACTGTCAGAAATACCTTCATATGCTGTTCTTCAGTTAATATAGCTTTCTCACAACCAATAGAAGAAGGTACTTCTAAATTCGAACACATGGTGTTTTGGATTATGCACCTGAAGGCCAAAAGGCAAATTACATAGCTTGTAAGCTCCCCTGTCAACAGAGTTATCAAAATGTTAGCTAGCACAACTTGAATAACTATCTAGATTATAAATCAAATGGATTCAGAAAATTCCCAACTACTAATATAACCAAAACGCCTCCACAGTTCTAAACACTGTGGCAAGGTCATGGAAACCAGAGAATTAAATGCCCTTTCTTCTCAAAACGCATCCAACTAGCAAACGTTCAGAGATAGTTATCTGCAATAATACTTACCTTTTCCCCTGATACAGTCATACAGGACTACGATTTCTGAAACCATCACTAACATACACTATCCCATCATCAACTTCAAGTTATTCCCTACTCCTTTGGATGTTTGACTTAATATTGAAGATAGTAGAGGACATTTTAAACAATTAATCATACAAATCTATACAACCTCATGAACCCAGAAGCATGGTAAATCCAAGACAGAAGGTAAAAAAGTTCAAAAGGAAGAAAAATTACCAAATCGCTGGAGCTGAGGCTTCGCGGGAAGGGCGACTCCTCCGAAGCTTAAACCATAAAAAGTAGTTGAAGAGAGAAAAAGGGTATTATCAGTGAAGAGCGGGGACCAAACAATTTCGAAGAAAACTACTTTAATTCATTCATAGCAACGAGGAATGAAGGAAGAAGTCCTTCAAGGCTTGGACTTGGAGGTACCCTTTGATACCCAGGTTCGATCGTTTTCGAATTGATGTACCCCGTGGCCGTTCGAGTTCGTCTAGGTACTGTTTGGTTACTTACTCAGTCCATGTGCTTGGTAAATCGAACTCTTCAGATTTAGACCGATTCGCTTCCTTTCTTTTCAAAATTCAGTGCATTTTTTTAGCACAATCTTGCGATCGTAATCAAATGTCTCTGAGATTTTTGGTGACAAAAATTTCTTGGTATTAGAAAAGAAAGGTTCTAAGACTTACTAATATCATTGATAATATTTGTATGAATCTTTTGATTCGAGTGCTCCACTGAAATGTCAATACTCTAGAAATCATCGACGCCCTTACTAAGAGAGTTGACAAAAATTTAGATATCTATTTTATTATATTTTCAAAAACATCCATAGTTCTACTAAATAAAATCATAAACTGAATTTAGTCTTTTCAATTAAAAATTGTTCATGCATCAACTTGGTTTGCTCCCCACCACTACTACTTTCTATTATCGCCATCTTTCTATTTGAAGTAAAGAGATTCCCTTTTCTTTATATTTGAAGTAAAGAAAGGTGCTCCCCCACAGTTTCATACACTTACTTACTTACCCAATGCAAGCTTCCAAGAAAGAAGAAAACACAGCCCATGGCATACCATTAACCTCAGTCCTCTCCCATGTGCCATGTTGTTTTTCCTGTTCAACAACTGCACAATTTCATAACTCATACAAATATTAATATGTAATGAAGAATTTAGGAATTGGGTCGAAAATGAGGGAACTGCAACAAAAGAATCGCTATAATTTCAAATGAAGGCGGGGTTTATGTACGACCCCAACTTGGCATTTAACGCCATTCAAAATTTTGATGCCTTCCAACACAACCTGTGCTCTCCCCCATTAGTTACTGTACAATTGTTTCCTATTCCCAGCTGCTGTAGGCCCCCCCATATAACTTTAGCTCCCCTGAATCATTTTCTAACTACACAAGGGCTGAGAAAAGTGTTCCCTCTAAAAAGGTCGAGAAAACACAATATTGCAACCCTTCAGCTTCTTACTTGTGTCATCTTTACGCATTTATTTGTCCAAAACAATGTTCATTGATCATCTTACTTCTGAATTTACCTCGGCCAGCTCCCCAGAGAGTCGATCTCCACCTCCACGAGGGTTCGATCATCAAAGACCAATAGCAAGTCATGGCCATTTGAGGACAGTAATTCCACTGACCACAGGCACCCAATTCAATTCCCCATTACAGCCAGTGGCTCTCTAGTTCTCGTGATAGAACGAACACATCCAGATGCCATCATTTGATCCCTAAACATGCATACACAAATACTATGAAAAAAGAAGGATCTAAGTCGCCAAACGTCATGATAAGCAGTCACAAAACAGCAGGCTCACCTTTCTCAGTATGCTGGTAACCCAAAAGTATACACTTAAATCAAAGAAACGGATCCCCCCCCCCCCCAGAATAGATGTCTGCAGATGCTGTGCAACTTATTTCCCTTTTCTGTATGCTTTTGGACTTCTTATCTTCAATCAAATAGGCTTAGGATTGTCAAGACAATAACATACTCAGACACTGCCAGGGATCAGCATGCAGAATAGCCCTCAAAAGCTGAGCCTCATGCGGATGCACACATAATATTAACCAAAAGGTTTCCTCTGAACCATTGAAACCAATTCAGAGAGCCATTGATTAAACATCTCTCTTCCCAACTGTCCCAGCAGAACTTTGCCTTTTCTGCATACCATATTGCCAAGTGTCTCTCAGTTTGTCACCTGACTGATCAAAATCTTCTGCGGAAGTCTCTACGGCAGCCTTAGAAGACCGGTAATTTCCATTCCTAGTAATTACTGAAGAGTTTGATTTCTCATCATCTTCCGATGGTGTTCCAGACCTTGACTCCACGTGTATATCTAGAGACCTATGTCTTGGAAGAACTGATCTCGGGCCCCTAGTGTTGGAAGAGTTCTTCCCAGGCAAAGTAGATTGAGTAGATCCCTTCTGTCCGAGGAAATCCTTCGGAAGGGATTCCATATCCATGTAACAGTTCCTTGACTTCGCATCAGTGATCAACGCAGCCCAATCATCAGACTGCATCAAAGCATTAGCATTGCCCATTACCTGGTTTAACAAAAGATCATATTAGAATATTCAAATTGTCAGCTATTAGTAAAAGTACCCATGTATGGGTATGAGAGAGACTGCAATAACTTGAGAGAGAAAAATTGAAGCCTACCCAAAGAGCTCTCCTTGCTCGGGTCAGTGCTACATTCATTCGACGAATATCTGCAACAAAACCAACACCATGGCTGGAGGCACGCACACAAGACATGATAATCACATCTCTTTCTTGACCTTGGAAAGCATCTACAGTATTAATATATAGATCCTTCCCTTCTTCAGAGTTCAGAACCTCCTCAAACTCACGTTGGAGGCACTTCAATTGGAGCTTGTATGGTGTTATTATACCAACTGAAACTTTACCCAAGACTAATGACTTCACGGTTTTCTGTAGATGTTCATACAAACGAAGACAAAATTGTGCTTCATGAATATTTTGATATGAAACAGATCCCCCTCTATGAGATTCCCGCCCATGCGTAATATCAAAGAAAGTGTAAGGTCTAAGTATAGGGTCTTTGTAGTATGTCTCATCAGGTAAATTAGCAACACTTTCACTGTCAGTAAGGCGCCCTTGGTAGAAGTACCTTGAAGGGAAATCACGTATTTGAGGATGCATTCTATACTGCACCGATAACAACATAGTGGGACATCCTGCTTGCTGGAATCTTTCAAAGAGACTTCTACTGTACAACAATGTTCCAGCTGCTTTACTGATAACAGTGGCTGGGAGCTGCTGGGGATCTCCAACAAGCACACACCTTGCTGCCCCAAGAGAAAGCGGCGGAAGAACAGCTACCTCACTGGCTTGGGCTGCCTCATCAATGACCACCATGTCAAAACCATGAGATAGTCGAGAAAACAATTTGCGACCACTGCTTGACACTGTGGTGAAAACTATCTCGGCCTCGTTGGCAAAACTAGCCTCAAGACTAGCTCGTGCATCCTCCATATTGAAATTGCTGTTAGATCGATACCTGCCTTCTAAAATAAGTAGGCGTGACATCTCAACTAAAATTTTATCCCTACCTTCTATTACAGCAGCAAGGTTTTGCAACAATGCATCTCGATTTTGGTCACGAGCCACCAGAACATCAGGGTCCACACCAACAGATCCTTGAGAGCGAACAGCAGCAGCAGCAACATTGAGTTCTCTCTGAAGACTACTGATTTGCTGAGATAATTGAGTTTCGCGAACTTTTAGCTGGTGCATCCATCTTAAGACTTCGTCTCTACTTTTGACCAAAAGTTGTTCTGTTCTACGCTCAACTGAAACTGCTTGGGCTGCACGTGTTTGTGAATCAACACCAACTCGAGCCACATCAGGTCGATAAACCTTCATTTCCCCATCAATAAACCCTCGATCAAGAACACGTGCAAGAAGCTCATCTGTTGCAGCATTTGAAGGTGCACAGACTAACATTCTAGGTTTAGGACACAGTGTGGGAAGAGTGCGGAAAAGATTCTGGTCCATGTTTTGGAGTACCTCATCAATGGATCCAGTAGAGACATGATCTGAGCTGCTCTCATGAGCTTGTTTATAGCTTTCTGGTGCTAGTTTCTTAAGCAAGGAAGTATAGTAATGCTGGTACTGAACCAGATGGATAACATTTAGCATTCCCCAAACTGTATGTGTCTTACCTGTTCCAGGAGGACCTTGCACGAGTGTAAAAGGCCATGGTTCTTGCCTCTTAACTGTCCCGCTGCTTGTACCAGCAGCTGTATGTGTTGCTGCCCATTGGATTGCAGATAGCTGAGGTCCGTTGAAGGTCCTATGCAAATACTCAACAAAATTTTGTGTGAAGCACTCGGGCATAGCAGGTGACTGCTGCTCATACTTCGGAAATTGTTCAGGACTAGGCTGAAGGATTGAAGATTGCATCTGATACATATGGTAAACAATTAGATTCGTGATAACAATTTAAAGGGGATATAAGACGGCTTTTAATCCAAATAAATTCTGACCATTACCTGCATGTTGAGCCGACGAAATGCATGTAGGGCAACATACTCTCGCTGGGTTGTTGCAAGAGAACCAAGCACCGTTAAAAACCAAACATTCTTTGCCTGAAGTTTTCTAACTATATGATCTTCTTCAATCCTGCAATTCAGAAATAGTAATAATATGAGAATCGCCCAACATTATAAGAGTATTTCATATAATTACAAGGTTGAGTGTAAGGAATGCCCTCCCCCACAAGAATCTTTTAAGAAAATAAGTTTTTTAATAAAAGAAATATAAATAGCTTCCCAAAAATAATATCGTCACTAATTGCAAGAAATCCACATCATCAAATCCATGCATTGAGGAGACTAACAATGACTACTACGAAGCTTAATAATACTTCAAAATATACCAACAATAACACTTTTTACTAATAGAAATAAAAGTGACACAAGGTATGAGAGATAAAATGCAATAATCTATTCGATGCAAAACATTTAACTTCCTTTCACAACTATCTTCGTCATAAATCAAACTATAGACAGACTTTCCAAAATAGCATCCTTAAAGAAAAGTTTGTGCAAATCAAACCGTAATTTATCTTCGAATGTTTCTACAACACTAAAAAAATGTCAAGTCCCATGCAAACCTCATTCATATTCAAAACACAATATCCTACTTTTAACCCACTTCATTCCCAAAATAAATAATTTTAACTGGGGTAAATAAGTTGTGTAAATTAATCTTTCAGTATCTCTTCATAACCGGAACTCAAAAGTACAACCATAAAATCAATAATGGAGCAGGGCTAATATCTTTGCAGCAGGGCTGCATGAGAATGTAGTATTTGGAAGATACTTCCAAGTAGAATTCATATGGCACAGCTCAGAACTACATTGAGAAGATACTTGACAAGTACCTTCAAGCAAGATTATAGGCACGGATCATTTAAAGGTTAACAGCAACATCACTAAGATTGTAACTGTATTTTGAAATAAAGAGTGAATGAGGACCTCACTAGTACAGTCCATAAGAAAAGAAAGTTCCAAAAATCTTTTTTCTCAAAAATTTTTCTACAAGAGGTTATATTCATTTTGAACAATAATGCATAGACAACAAAAGATGACAAGGAAACAACCATCATGAAATTGAATATTAACTTGCCTACTAGGATCGTATGAGTCCCCAACATAAAAGTGCAGGATGGCGCCTGGCGGGTCACGAGTGTCAAGGGGAACGTGTCGCCGAACAGTTCCAGCCACACGTCCACCAGATTCAGGG